TTCATTACATTAAGCATAATTTATTGTCTTTTTTTTTATTGTTAATACTTTATCATGATGCTTTGTAGTGAGTGTAAAAATAATTTGAAAGATCCTGCACATTATCAATAATCAAACCCTCGAGAGCTTACTAAGTTGCTCATCAAAAACTTTCATGAATGGTTAGGAGCAATTGTAAGTAATGCCATACTTCCCATTATAAGAAATCTACATAGAATGTTTATGGTATAACTAACATTAATAACATATATATATTTATTCCACTTTTATATGTTTGGAGTAGAAGGCTTGTTAGTGAAGAGATGAAGTGTCTTTCACATGGTCTAAATCGAATTATGAAATGATACAAAGGTTTCATCATCAATAGATTTAGATTTCACACTAAATCGTATGAGAGATTTATAAATACACAAAATTCAGGAGTTGTTATGACTTCATCAACTACTAGTTATGCTAGTGCTAGGAACACAAACCATTTAGAGGAAAATGTTAACTATTATGGCATGATTAATGATATCATTGAGTTGGATTATTATGGTAAGTAAAAAGTTATCTTATTTCGGTGTGATTAGGCTGATGTGAATATTGCAAGGAGTATTAAAAAAATCAGTATAGATTTACACTTGTGAATTTTTCTTGATTAATTCACACTGGACAACAACTCATCGATGAATCTTATGTTTTTTTATCTCAAGTCAAATAAGTTTTTTACTCTGAAGATCCCAAAGAATTGGGTTGGTTTGTTGTTCTCCGAAACTCACCTAGAGACTTATTTGATATAGGGTTAGATACCAGAGATGATGTTGAACATGAAACTGAATGTTATCCTTTTGCTGAACAAAACTTGGATGAAAATATCTCCAGTACCTATGATCAGTGGGTCGACGAAGATGTTACTAAAGACATTTATGAACCACGAAATGATGCATCTATAATTTGTAATTCGAGTGTTTAAGACATAATGTAGTAAATGATTGTATGTAATTAATGTCACATTCATTATTGTATAATTAGTGTATTCTAAATCATACATTATTTTTTGATTTAATTAAATTGATATGTTCTTTATATATCATAGGTTTTGATTTCATAAATTCTCAATGTCTTTATATATGTTCTAAACTAATATCTTTTCTATATTTGCTTTTATGATCTAGGTAAGCTATAATGCAAAAGAGTAGGTTGAAAGCAATACATATCAGAGATATTAGTTTAGAATTATCTGCGGCACGTGTTGATATTGGCTATGGACTGAATCCTTTGGAGGGAAATGAACATACTATCGGATCTAACTCCGTCACTTCTAACTATTAAACTAATATTGGATCTTGCAATACTGGAGGTCCAGGTTTAGATAGTATCCCATCAATTAATTATGCTTTAAATTTGAATGCAAATATCATATACCCTAATTGTAGAATTCGAGTATAATGATAAAAGTATTACGATTTTACAAATTTATTTTTTATTTGTTGCAGTTGATAACAATGGTCAATGGAGGACAAAAGGTCAGACAACTTTGAAGGAATTGTTTGCACTACCTCTTAACGAGCGTATTGTAGTGTCTAAAAACTCTGATAGGCAACCAATTGATGAAGAGGCTCAACTGTTGGCTAGATTTCTAGGCATGCTTGCCCGTAATAAAATGATATTGCCTATTTATTATAAAACATGGCATAAAATTCTAGAAAAAGCTAGGGCGGATGCTTTAAACTTTATTGAGGTATTAGTATAATTAATTACATATAAAAAATTTATTATTTTACATTTTGTTTACTTATTCAAACTTTTCTTATTGTATTATTATAGTTAAGATTTGTACTTGAAATACCAATTTCATTTGTGCTTAAGTCATTGGGAAAAAATGGAAAGATTATAAGCATAGTTTGAAGAATAAGTATTTCAATCAAAGTACTACTGTAGAGGCAATGATGGAAAATCTATCATGTAATGTGATTAGGTGACAATATAAACAATTAGTTAGAATTTAGTTTTCAAGAAAAAGAGAGGTACTAATTTATAACTTTGTATAGTAGAATGAAATGACAAAAATGTTTTATGTTTTAAGTTGGTAATATTTGTATTTCTATCATATATGCAATTATTTTTTATGATAGGAAAGAGAATAGATTGGGATTGATAGCAGAAAGCAACAGAAATATAGCCACACAAGTGGTTCAAAAAGTTTTGCAAGAAAGCAAAAAGAAATAGTAAGTTTATGGTTTTAAACTTATTCTGATGAATTAACTTTTTATGCCATTAAAAGGTAAATATGCAAATTAATAGTTATTGTTTTGTTTTAATAGTTTTGATAGTTTTAATACATGATATTAAACTTATCGAAAGTTTTAAACTTAGTTGACACTGAAGATATGTATGAAAAAGTTATGGTTTACGTATATTTAGGTAAAAATACAAAATTGTTGTTATTGTTGTATTTTAACAGTTTGGATAGCTTCAATACTTGATATTAAACTCGTTCGATTGATTCAACTTGGTTTCTACGATCGATATGAGAGAAAAAGTTGTCGTTTATGTCTATTTAGGACTATTTTTGCATATAAAAGGCAAATATACAAATTAAACATTTGGATGGCTTCAATCCATGATATTAAATTTGCCCAAATAATTGAATTTGATTTCCATGATCGATATGTGTGAAAGCCCAAAATGCTTTTATTGTTTGCGTATGTTTAAGACTATTGTATTGTTACGGGGCCAAAATATAAATGCATGATATTAAAATTATTTGAAATTTTAATACTTGATTGACAAGCTTGATATGCATGAAGAACTTGCGGTTGATATGTATCTTATCAAATAACATATGTTTTTTGTATAGGAGAATACGATGGGCGATAAAATTGGATGTGTGAAACTTTTTCGCATAACACACATAAAAAAAGATGGATCTGGTATGAATGTCGAAACATAAAAAATTATGGTAATTTGTAACATCTATTTTAACAGAAAGTAAATATTTACTCTTTTTAACATATTATCAATTAATCATTAAACTTGATAGTTATATATAATAAATTCACAGGAGAAAGCGAAAAAGAAAATGGCTACTGAGATTGAAGTAGCATTTGATAGTTCTCTCAACATGTAAGAAATGAAAAATCAGATATTCATAAAAGTTACTAGAAAAGAAAGGTATGGATGGGTCCGAGGCCTTGGATTGGATCCAACACCATCTACCTACTATGGATATAGCTCTCAACAATTTACATTATTAGCAAGTCAGTATTCGCGAGACATTTTAATATGAAAAGAGGAGTTGCAAACTATGCAACAATATTTTCAGCAAATGAAAGCAGAAAGAGAATATGAGCATGCCAAAATTAAGGAAGAACATGCTAGAATGGACCAAAAGTATGCAAAATTTCAGTAGTTGCATGATTAATTCGATCATCTTATGAATTTTGTGCAACAATAATTTTCAAAAATTGATCTCGGTGTTCTACCAACTTAGGTATTGTATTTACTAAATATTTAAATTTTTAAATATAAAAAAGCTTACAATGAAGTGTTAAAAATTATATGATATTATTTAGTAGATTCTTGAGCATGCTAGTGACCAAGGTGAAAAAATTTCTTCATCAATTGATAGCCAGCAAAATCTATGTAGTCATTCATTTCATTCATTTTATTTTTTATTTTGTTAATGTATTAAAAATATTTGAATGTTATTATAATAATTATTAAATTTTGTGTTAATTAAATACATATTTAAATGTGAATTAAGTTTATATTAATTTCAGTTTTTGAATTTAAGCTCTTTTATGAAAATAAAAATTATTAACAAAAATTTAAAAAAATACATTTTTTAATTTAGCGGCGTTTGCATTCAAGAATGTCACTAAATGAATAATTTAGTGGGATTTGTATCATAAAACGCCACTAAAAATAGTGGCACTCTTACCAGCAAATGCCTCTAATATTGAAGGTATTTTTTTGATACAAACGTCACCAAAGCAACAACGTTTTTCTCATAAAAATGTCATTAAATTAGCGATGTCTCAAAGATACAAACGTCGCTAATATAAAGGCGTTTTCATATACAAACGCCTTTAAAATAATGACATTTTCAGTCACAAACGCCACTAAAGCAGTGACGTTGTCCTCATAAAATGTCACTAAATTAGCGGCATCTCAAAGATAAAAACATCGCTAATATGACGACATTTTTAGATTAAACACTACTAATATTATGACATTTTTTCTAAACAATGCTACTTTTTGTGATGCGTATATAGCTGGTATTTTGATTGACGTTTTTCGCAAACACTATAAATCTTTTAGTGACGTTTATAAATGCCGTTAAACATTAAAAAAAAAAATCACTAAAACCTAAACCCCCGTGGTGATATTAGTAATGATATCATGATGATTAGATGCTTTCGACACATGTCATGACTTTATGAAATATTGATGCCACACCAGTAAGTTAACAAATCACATTAGTTCGAAGTATTAAAATATACGGTGGATTAAAGGTTCAGATACTCGATTACAAATTTTATCTCTTTAGGTATTATATTGACAAAAAGTATAAAGCACATGAGCCATCTTTATATTTAACCCTTTTAAAAATTAAGATTCAAATCCTGAAAGTCTATTACGTACTATAAAGATTTTTAAGCAAAGAAAAAAGACAAAATAATGTAAACATAACAAAAACATATGAAAGTTGAGAATTAAGTGAGTCTCTTATTGAGTTATTGTACCGTGCAGAAGATCAGGAAAGAGAGAATTAAAAGGGGGGGGGGGGTGGAATTAAGAAAGACAGAAAAACTGTAATAGAACAATTTTATGGATTTGGAACTCATTATTTATTCTCATAGTATAGTATAAAGATAAGGCAATAGTACCAAAATATATATATATATATTTATATATATAAGGATAAGTGTTAAGTGTTAAGTTAGTCTTAAGTTAGTCTTAATTGTTACATGGTGACAGTTGACAGGTACTAATAAATTATACTCGGCTGATAGCTAAGGACACAATTTAGCACATGAGTTGTGGAGAAAACTGGAAATGAAATCATACCCAGCATAATATATATGATCTTCAAAGAAATCAAACCACCTTCTTCGCCAGTAAGGATTGACATAGAGAAGTATTATGGAACTAAGGAAGAAAATGAAGTATGCTGTGCTAAAAGTTGCGGAAAACACCACAGGATCAATAACATACCACTTCTCCTCACTTCCATCCACAAATATTTTTGGAGGATGAGGTGACTTAGTGCTGCAGTTCTGGCTTAATAGCTGTCCACAAAGATATGGATTCCCTTCGTAACTGCTTCTATCAAATGTCCCAAATTGAGCTTTCATATCTGGTATTTTGCCTGATAAGTTGTTGTATGCCACACTGAATACTTCCAGGAAATGGAGATTGATCAGTGTTGAAGGGATTTCTCCACTCAAACTATTATGGGAAAGATCTAAACTTTCAATTTGGCTGAGATTTGAGAAAGATTTCGGGATTGGTCCTGTCAACTGATTGTGGGATAAGTTCAGTGCGTGAATCCAGGATAGATTCCCAAACTCATGCGGGATCCCACCTGACAGATTATTACAAGACAAATCTAGTCCCGACATTAAATTTAGAATGTCCCCTTTGTAGGTACCAGACCTGTGTTTCGTTAAAAAGTCAACTTCCACATGTGTGAAAGATTGATCAGCACTGCTATGAAGTTTATATTCCTTTTTTAGAGTTCCATATCTGAAATATGTAATGTAATCCCATTCATTAGAAACTTTTTCTTGTGCAATGTCTAATTGGTGAGGCCCGATCTTTCCAAAGCTGATATCCTGGAAGCAGGGGGGAATCGACCCAGAAAAGGAGTTGTTGGAGAGATCCAACATGCTTAATTGTTTCAATTGACAAAATTGCTTTGGAATCAAACCGGTCAGAAGATTTCCACTTAACAGAAGAACTCTCAAGCCATTAAGCGAACCAATCATATCAGGAATGATTCCTGACAGGTTGTTATCTCTGAGGTTCAATACCGAAAGATGTGACGTATTTAGAAATGTTTCTGATATTAATCCACTGAATTTGTTTCCTTGTAAGTGTAAATGCTGTAGACGATAGCAAAAAGGCAAAGTACCCGAAAGAAGGTTATGAGAAAGGTCTAAATAATACACAGATCGCGAAAGCCCTTCACATTGGAACTGACCCTCCAAATAATTGTTCCGCATTACAAGTATATCGAGGTATGTCTCATTGCCTATCCAGCTTCCAATATTCCCTGTCAGGAAATTATAACCAATGTCCAATAAGTACAGTTTGCCAACTCCGTCTGCTTTTACATTCGACAGATTTCCACAGAAGTAATTATCCTTTAACTGCAGCACTCCTAATTGACTTAAGTTGTAGAGCGCAGGAAAAATCTGTCCATGAAGTTTGTTACCAGATAATATTAAAATGTGCAAATCAGAGCAACCAGCGATCAGTTCCTTCGGTATTTCTCCAGAGAAATTATTATAAGACAAATCCAGCACCTGCAAATTTCTCATGTCACCAATGGAAGATGGAATATCTTGTTCAAAAGTATTTCTTGATAAATCCAGATACTCCAACTGTAAAAGGATTTTCCCAATATTCTCCGGAATCCCATGAATTTGATTGCCTGATACATCCATCATTACAGTGTTGATCATAGAGTATGAAGGTAATTGAAATTCCCCGATGAAAAAGTTGTTACTCAGTTCCAGAATTGCTAGGTTGGTATTGTTTTCCAACAACCAACCAGGAAAAGTTTCACGCAACTTGTTGTGAGAAAGATCAACTATCTGCAAGTCAAACTGGTAACTGAGAAAACTAGGAATACGGTTGGTCAGCTTGTTCAGACTGCAGTTAGATAGTGCCAAAACCTTTAGTTGAAACGAAGGAAACCACCCTGGAGGACTCTCAGAATCAATCTCCAATTTACCATTGTTACTTATGATTTGGAGCACTTCAAGCTTGGAGTGATTTTGAAACAAGCTTAACGATAATGAACCCTCAAAATCGTTAAAACTAAAATCAAAATATCGAGAAGATGTCAGGTTCTGTATCAAAGACACTGAAAAGGTTCCACTAAAATTGTTGTTTGAGAGATCTAACAGCCCAATAGACGTTAAATTGGTCAGACAAGGAGGAATGATCCCTCCAAAATAATTTTGGCTAAGATCTAACTCTTGAAGTCTCTTCAATTGGCATATACCTGTTGAAAACAAAAATACATATGCATCTTCATATATTCTTATTTTGGAGTAAATTCTACCATATATTCATGATTTTTATGCATTTTTTTTTTATTTGTAAGGTTTTGATTACCATACGTAATTTATGCATTATTGGTCATCAAATTGCTAAAGGCTAAAAAGTTTACATTTTAACATTCCACGTAATCATTTTATGTTTAGCAGTAAATTCGTGCATTATTGGTCATCAAATTGCTAAAGGCTAAAAAGTTTACATTTTAACATTTCACGTAATCATTTTATGTTTAGCAGTAAATTCGTGCATTGTGTCACGTCAATAATGATGTAGCACAAAAAGAATATCGAACTATTATCATATAATACAAAAATGATGGCATGAAATGTTAAAATATAGATCAAAGTGTGTTTAATGATTGGATAATAAAGAATGGAAAATTAAGTAATTAAAATAGAAAAATTTTTTAAAAATATTTGAGAAAATAGTATACTCAACTTTTTTTTATTATCTTTTTGTAATACCGTTTGAAAGAAATTTCAAAAAAGCAACAAACCGATGAAACCTCTGAAGTCTTACCTAATGGCAAATAACCGGCAAGCAAATTCCGAGCAACGGAGAATGCCTTGAGATTGGATAGCTTCCCTATATTTGGAGTGATGGACCCTTCAAAATGATTGTAGCTCAAATCTAATATCTCCAGACTACTAAACCTCATCAACTCTGCCAAAAGATACATGAAAAATAAAATTGTATCGGGCTGATAACAATGTAATTAATATATTAGGTTGCCCTGTAAGCTAGGAGTATCTTGGAATTAAGTCAAAGAAATACCTTGGATTGGCAAAGTTCCATTGAGGTAATTCCAATACAAATTAAGCACCTCCAAGTTTTTTAGACTCGCTAGTTCTGCACCAACGTAAAGAAAATGCATATGAAAAAGCTAAGAGCGCATTAAATGTTAAGAAAAATCTCCTGATTTGTTTTGATTTGTATTAGAAATGAAGAAAAAAAAAAGGTTAAAGAAAAAATGGAACAATAAAAGAAATATAACCGAGACATTTTTTTTTTTTTTTTTTGTTCTACTCTGTTGGTGACTTTTTGGATATGTAAATGTGGATGTGAAAAGATTGTCCGGCTATGGTGATAAAGACATGCCAAAGAGTAAAAAAGAGTCAAAAGAAGCGTTGAAGATTGGATTCTGAAGAATGCTTTGACGCTCCGATCTATTACTTATTAGAGATGAAGAGAAGTAAAGGTAGAAGATAGAGCTGTATTCAATAACGTGACTGTTATTGATGGATCTCATGGGATTAGTCTTATTTTAGAACTTAGACCTTGACTGTTATAATATAAAAATTCTCTCAAGGATAAGGATGGTTTTAAAGTGATCGTCTCCAAGTTTTTAAAAGTATCTATTAGCATAAAAAAATAGGTAGCCAATTTCACACAATTGCTATATGGTCGCCCATTTAGGTTACCTTTAGGCGAGCCTAGTTTGTGCTGTGTAGAAAGACGTTTAGAAGTGTACTATGTTAACGGTGTGGTTAACATTTGTTAGTGTATGTGTCTTACAGCCAATCGGTTGACCAATGGGTGTACAATTAAGTTGCACCAAATCACTACATTTTAGTGATTAAAAGATTTTCCTTCATCTTTAGCATGAGGATATAGGGTTATTGAAGTACTAATTGGATAAATCCAATGGAACACAATGGTCTTGCCAAAAAATTGTTAGGAGTTACAATTATGAGACCCTTATGCCTTAAAATCATGTACCTAAAATTGTTGTTTGTCAATGTATTATTGAGGCATCAACAAGATATTGGTACATGTTAAGCCTTAAGCCTTCTTAGTTATAAAGCAAGTAATAAGTCTCATAGGTTAAAGATGTAGATACTTGGAGATAACATTTGGATACTTGTTACAGAATAAGTTTGCTGAATATGATCTATTATGAGAACTCCATTTGGTGTCTCACTCAAGTGTTTATAGATATGTTTCCATGTGTTAGTTGTATAACTAGTTCTTTGACTTGAGACACCATGTCATCTTGTATGTGAATCGTCATACTTTGATTTCATCATTATAGGTCAAGATGCATGGTGCCTAAAAAAAAAAACTTTTGGATACTATCTGAAGCATACAAAGGTAGATGAATGATCAAGAGAGGATCCATCACCCAAAATGATATGAGGGGACATTTCGTTTGTTCTTGGCTCTAGTTGACTTATAAGGTTTTTAGCCGAAGCATGTTGATGAAATTAGAATAAACAGTTTCTTGCTAAATTCATACATGTTGACTAATAACTGTAAGAAATAATATGAAAGATGTTTATGAGTAGATATTGTACCTTGCTCATGCCTTTTCAGGATATACAGTGAAAGGATCAACGTTATACTGATAAACTGAACATTGAAAGGGTAAGTTGAGATTATCTTGACTCTCCAATATTTGAGTGGTCATGATACATTACTAGATGCCACTCATATACGTTGGTCATTTATAATCATTTGATTTATGCTTATTGCCAACATATTAGAAACCTAATGGGCAGACCTATGAAATAACATTACAAAATTAAGGTTGAATTAATCAATTAAATTGAACTTAATTGATAGAAATTAAAATCAAGAGGAGTTAAACTTACAATTTTCAAGGACTAAATTGAAAATGGTGTAAACGTTACATTTTTAATTGAAAAAATGAAAATTGAAGAGAACTATAAACTCATCTCTTCATAGCCCTAGCTGCACATCTTAAAACCCTTGATAAAGGTCTCTAGTAATTGAAAGTTGCAAAATACAAGTCCCTTGTAGCTATAGTAAATTCGACAAAAACCCAACTTCCTTAGAGATTGTGCTAACTTCACTATATCACTAAGAAAAGTGTTTTTTTTTTTCTCCTCGTTGATACCTTGAGGCTAATGGCCAATATAGGAATGGTTTCTAGTGAAACTCCTGGTAACAATGGGTTTGGAATCCCTCATTGTAAAGGTTTTGGCAAAAATTGCTATATGGATCACCACTAGAGGCCAAATGCTTAGATGGCTTAAGTCTTGATATGTTTTCGATTTTCAATCACTACCAAGGGTTGTATTAATGCTTAATTATGATATCTTGAGTTAAAGTATGATTATAAATAGATATGTGATTTAAAAGTATTGAATTACATGCATAAACTTAAGTATGATTTTGTGGTTGTCTTGACTTTTATGTTTTGTTTATTTTACTGCGTTACTTGATACATATGTGTATGAAACTATGATGTTTTATATTGTGATCCCATGATGTTGAGACACACACCAATGACATTGATTTTTGAATTTTTTTCTTTTTTTTTTCTTGCACATATTCAATGGATGTGTCCCTTCACTTACATGCTTAAACAATATGCGTTGCAAGTTGTCAATTCATGTTATGATAGATATTGTGATTGGGCCATATGGCTAGGCATTAATTATAAAGCTGTGTTGCACAGTACTACCTTCTTTATCAAGGCACATGGCATAACAAGGATGGCTTGTACCTATTACCAAAGATTTCATTATTTTTTTTTTTTGAATTTCTTGGATATCAAGCTTGATTGGAGATGATTTTTGGACTTGTGTCTTTTCAATCTTCTTTTTATATATATATATATATTACTTTCTTCTTCACCTTCATTTTGTTTTACTATTTTTAAGTTTTCAAACTCATATTCTTATTCATTTTTTTTTTTTTTTTGTACTAGTTTTAATACCTTTCTTCAAAAGTTTTTTTCTCATTTAGTTTTGTTACCTCATTAAATGTTGGTAAGTTGTTATGTCTCATTTTTTTTTTCTCTTTAGTGTTGCTTTTTGTATAAGTAAGAAACACAAGGAAAGAAGAATGTTAGCCAAGAAATCTAAGGCTAACGTTCTTGATAACAATGCTTTAAGAAATAATGAAGGCAGTTGACTTAAATAAGCAATCTACTATCTTATTGGTAATTACAAGGACTTGTGTGACAAAAATGGATTCAAAAGAAGTCGGAAGAGAATTGATCAGTTTATGGTATTTCATCAAGGTTAGCTCTTTGACCTCATACTTGTAATTGACCTATTTGACAACCAACTGAAAGTCTAAAAACTTGCAGTTTTTTTGCTCTAAGTGCTATGGCTAGTTCCAAACTGACTATTAGTGCTTCATACTCAGTAGCATTATTTGAAGTATTAAATCTAAATAACAAATCATATTGCCACTCATTTTTACTTTGATCAATTAGCAAGATTCCTATTGGTGCTAAATATTGAGAATTCTTGATGTAGGCATATGAAAGTATAAGAAAAGGCTTCAAGGCATGTATCTATACCATTTTTATTAAAATTTTATTTGACCACACCACTTGATTAATTGGTGTGTATAAGGATGTCAATGGGTAGGGTATGGATAGGGTAGAACATTGCCTATCCCTATCTTTAGATTTTTATATTATACCTATCCTTGTACCCATACCTAATGAATATTTTAAATTTATCCCCATCTCTATCCTTGCAGGTATTTAATTAGTATAGGTAATCCACATACCCTTAACTTTTTTAAAAAATAAAAACTAAATTTTTAACTTTTTTTTTATCTTGTATATTTAGGTAATTTTATATATATATTGATATATATTTTTCAATAAAAAATATTAATTTTAATTAATTTAAAATAATAATTTATATTATTTAATAAAAAATCTATTTACTAAAAATATATATAAATATATAAGGTACGGGTATGAGGCGGGTACTATATTACCCATTCTCATCCTTATATTTAATAAAAATTTAAAATCATACCCATCATTATCCCTATACCCATAATATAATACTCATATTCATCTCCATTCGAATAAAAAGTCCACCATTGGGTATGGGTAAGATTGACATCTCTAAATATGCAAAAGGGTTATTGATGTATAAACCTCAATGATGCAATTAAGCTCAGTGATTGATTATGTTTTGCACTGATGAAATCAATCCACTAAGCATTTATTGACTAAATAAGAAAATTATTTGATTTTATTATAGAAAACTTGTGTGAGTTTTTCTAGTTTTTGTTCCATGTACGAACTTTCTTCAATGTAAGTTATTTTTTTATATCTTCCAAAGACTAGAGAAGTTATATTTCTAAACAAATAGATATCTCTTTGTGCAAACGTAACTGTCTAAATAGATGTCTGGTTGTGTAGACATAATTGTTCAAATATATTTTTGTTTGAACAGACAAAATTATCCAAACAAAGTGGTGGATCTAAGATTTTTTCCTTGTTGTGTTCACTTATTAAAAATGGGTGTCTATTAGGTGTTGGCTAACTATGGGCTCTGACTAGGTATTAAGTAGTGTAGTGAATGAAGCGATTAGAGAATTAAAAAGACATGTTTAGGAAAAAATTTTAAGTGTCCAAAGAAAAATTTTCCTTCATATTTTCTTATTTTCCAAAATTTACATTTGCATCCACTACTGTCCAGACACAACTCTTCATAATCTTTCACATACAATTCATGTGACTTACTATTTTGGAAATGTTTCAAAATTCTTTCACCAAATCCATCCATTATTTAAAAGCCATCCATATACAATTACTAAGTACTAGGCTTTGATGTTGAATCACTTGGACTACTAAATTTTCATGTAAGTCTTTTGTTGTCTTTAAAGTGGGTTGTGTCATTTTGGAGTATTGAACTGAGACTATTATATCTTTTTAAAAGAGCACGAGATAATAAAATCTACAAAGGGTTGAACCTTATAGCTTTTTCGATTTATACTAAATTCTAAACTCACTAAGTTCAACACTTTATCTCATCATTCTCTTTGATATGCCTATTTTTTAGAGTGCCTTTTTGAGAGGTTGGTCTATGAGGACTATGATATTATGCCCTTGAAAATACTTTAAAAGCCTT